GTTGATTGAGAAAGAAATTAGAAGCAAAATGGGTGAGGTAGCAGATTCAGTCTAACCTGTATAAGTTAAGATAGAGGAAACACCTATTTTTTGGTTGCAACTTTCTGAACTTACAAAATAAGCAAGTTTATTTAGCGATTTTGGAAAAAGAAACGAACTTGAAAGATGACGGTTTATGTTGATTGAGAAAGAAATTAGAAGCAACGAGAATCAGATTTCTCAATCTCTTGTTTCTTTTATTTTGAGATATTCAGCTTCACCATGTTCCCAATGAAAGTACGCTGAATAGTATGATTGAAGGGGTGGACTTCCGACCATTTGATCCAATAATCAACAAGCTCTCCACCCCCTGGTGCTCAAAAAAAAAGGAGGAGAAAGATCATTTAGAAATTTAGGGAGTTAAATAAGAAAAGGGAACTGAGACTTGTATTCTCGAGTTCCTGTTTGTGAGGTGGACCCTTCAGAACGAGCTTGAATGTTTGCTATTTGTGGTCTGAAGTCTGTGCTTGCAACCAGATGCCGTGGTGGTTCTTTGACTTCTGTGCTGTATGTTTGTTTGCTGTCTTGAGTCAAAAACAATTTTGGTTAGCCTAGTTATGGTAATTAACTTGACAAGCATTTCTTGGTATAATTGACTATTTTAATTTCTATTGGAAGGAAGCCTTAACTTCTATAAACTAATCATGATAAGTTTTTGGAAGGGCATAACCTCTCCCATGTCTTGAGATAAAGGATCATTTTTTGGGTCGAGCTCGTTGCACTGAGCTTGCCTAGTGCGGGTTACCTCACCTGTGTGGTTTGCGAGCTATTGCATAGGAGCAGGGTTTTTACCTTGTGTGCACCCAAAGGGTAGCGGTTGTGGGTTTCCCTTGTAATAAAAAAAATAAAGGATCATTTTTCTTTTTATTTCATTGTCACATTTTGCCGCCAAAAAAACTGCAATCTTTGTCATATACTGCATCTCACTGAGCGCCATTGGATTTTGATTCTTATATGACACCTTTGCATTCTCACAATGTGCCTCTGTTAATGTGGTTATTCTTAATTATTAACTCCCAAAGACTAATATTGATCCTCAAGAACATCACCTTATGGATTGGATGGGAAGTTTTTGCTTTTGGAAATACTAAATAAAAAAGGTGCTTAATCTCGAAAGCGTATGCTGCACCTAATTGTGTAGCAGAGCTGCATCTTTCAACCATTATCAACTACATACATGTGAAAAAACAACTATGTTCTGATATGACAATGCTCCTCCATGATACATTTCTTGCTACTCTTCCCCCTCTTTATAAGTCGGACATAGTGTTGTTTTGCAAAAGGATGCTACAAGGAAGTCCAAGTATGTATGAAAGCTACAAGTGAATCAACCTTGTAGCTTCAATAATATCATTCACTCTCTTTTATAAGTTTGAAGGAACCATGTCAAACAGTGAATTGCCGTCATTCCTTATGGGCATTTCCAATCTTACATCCATTTGTAGCAAGAAGAAATGTCTTTAATAGACGGAGACTTTACCCATTAAAAGAATTATCTATCTGCTACATTGTTTTTCCTCGTAGTCAGGGACTTATTTATTACAAATTAGTTCTTGCATATACTTTTACACGATGCATCAAATGTTGTGTAATCCTTTTCTGGCTGACTTGATTCCCTGCATTGTGATGATAGTATTGGTTAATGGGCTGTAATGAGAGATCACCTATCTTATACGTTTTGTACTTAACATGGGAATATATCTGTATTGCTGCTTTACGGAGGTGAGAATATGTTAACTTTTTTTTCCGTTACTAGGGATTATGCCTATAAAGGTGCTTGTTATCATTATTCTGGCACTGTGTATATGGTTTCAATTTACATTTATGATTCCGGGATCAATTTTTTTCATCTTGTTTTCAGTAATTTGTTCAAAATATTTAATTGATTGCGCCACAGTATCTCATTCCCTTCTTACTTCTTCACAGTGTTGATGTTTCTCCTTTGTGTTTGTTATATCTCCAGACCATGAGGAAAACAAAATATCTATCAAGTTCCTTTTATCGAATGCTGAGGCTGGTTCAATTATTGGAAAGGGCGGCTCGACAATCAGTGACTTTCAGGCTCGTTCTGGGGCAAGAATTCAGTTGTCACGCAACAACGAATTTTTCCCTGGTACCATGGATAGGATTGTAATGGTATCTGGGTCGATTGATGATGTACTCAAGGCAGTTGATCTTATTCTTAATAAACTACTGGATGAGGTAATATCATGTCTAAAATCCCATTCTGTGTACTGTTATTGACAGATGCCTTGAAAAAACTGTCTTTTCCAACTCAGAGTTATGTTGAAGATGGTGGTGATGTTGGCCCGCGATCAAAAGTTAGACTAGTTGTGCCCAACAGCTCTTGTGGTGGAATTATCGGGAAGGGAGGATCTGTGATAAAGTATGAATCTTTCCTCATTTTATGTCCTAAACCCCCCCTACCCCAAATACACTGCTCCTGAAAATGCATGCAGGTTTCATTGTATCATTACTCATTTAAGATAACTAGCTCTTCTTCCAAGCAAAGTATTGCTGATTCTAAGATGCCTGGTTTTGGTACTGATAATGTTAACTAGTTTCTGTGATGTGATCAATCTGAATTTGCTGTTTTATAGAGTATGGAATGGCACAGTCTTGTGCTGGAATGAGTTAGCTGACTTTGCCTTTTCCATTTTCATTTTTAAGTTTCTGACTGGAAGTTCGATCAACTGCATGAGCTTTGCATCCTAGTTTATTACCACTTTAAATCAAATTGTATATGCCATTAGACTGGGTTCCTTGTCCCATTTGAATATTTGAACTCATTCACTTTTAAACTTAGTCTTCATGGTTGAACTCTCTGGGTTAATGCGTTGGTACCCCATCTCACACCAGGATGTCGTCAATGTGTAACATGTGAGTCTGGTGGGAATAAATGCTTAGAGTTGTTTGTTATTTTATTGTGCTTATGGGTTTATTGTTCAGGGAGGTTCCTATTTACCACAGATATTCAAAACCTAGGTCATCAAGGGTCCACAAGAAAAGTTAGGATAATAACCATACAGTTCATCTGCAAATTGAGGGAATACAGTGATATCAAAGGTGACGAGCAACAAGAAGCGCTGAAATTATTGGAGTGTCAAGAGCAAACACAAATAAAGCATGAGTTTTATGTACAGGAAAGGGAAAGATGAAAATCTATATGTAGTTCAAGAATGATAGTTATAAACCATAATATAGACAGAAAAATTGAAAAAATTAGAGTATGGTAAAAAAGGGGAAATATATATTGTTTAGTGTCCCTCTATTCAAGGAAAAAACATAGTAATAAGGTTTGTGCCTTGGCGCTTTTGTCCTGCAATGAAGCAATACTTGAGCAACACAAAATGCACATCATATTTTGCTCTAGCTTTAGGGCTTAAGTGCATCTCAAACGCCTCTTTGACAACACTGACTATCATATAATGGAGTTGTAAGTTGCAACTATTGTGTGAATGTTCATTTTGAACTTCATCTGCAACTAAAATTATATAAAGGAAACACATTTTACTAAATTTCCAAATACAATTTTAAATGCAGAACAAAAATGGTTGACAAAATCATCAGATTAACATAGATGGTTTTCTTTTACAGGTCATTTATTGAAGACTCTCGGGCTGGCATAAAAATATTACCTCAGGATGAGAACTTTCCAGGACTGCATGATAGGATAGTAATAGTGATTGGAACTCTAGGGGAGCAGATGCGGGCTATTGAATTGATTCTATATAAGTTGGCTGAAGACACTCATTATGTACAGAACATGAATGCTCCATTTCCTTATGCAGGTATTATTCAAATTTAATTAATTTGTAATACTTCCATTTAAGTAATAGATCGGGAGGAATATGATCTGCTCTCTGTCTTAATCATTTTCTGTGCTTGTGCAATTCTTTTGGTATTGATTCATACAGGACCTGAGGTAAATGAATGGATGAGTGGAGGGAATACATTACTTGTTTCTTGTCTGTCATACTTTCTACAACATTTATGACCATATCTTTAGTAATGTTTTCCAAGCTATTAGGTGTTATATTTAGGAGATCATCGTAGTAGTTGATTCTGCCATCTTAAAGTTGTTTTTTAACGTCATATTCTGATTCCTAGTTCTACTTCTACTGCTTCCTATTTCTTAGCAGCTTATCTTGGAATGAACTATGGACCACCGAATGGAATTGGAGGGAGATATCCAAATAACAGATATCAGAACAAGATGGAGCCTAATTCTGTGAGGACATCATTTTTTTGCCCCTTGTGCTTTTGACTGGATTTCAACTCCGTTTTGTTTGAATTCAACTTATTCTTTGTATTGGCTTTGAAGCTGATAACGGCATGCTCTTATCATGTTCCTAAATAAGATTATGCCTTCTTCTTTAGAACTGACAGATTTTGTTATCAGTTTTTTGACCTGCGCCTACTTTGGTGGTTTTGCAGGAAGATGGGAACAATTCTGTCACTATTGGTGTTGCTGATGAGCGTATTGGTTTGGTGCTTGGTCGGAATGGAAGGAGTGTAATGGAGATAAGTCAGGTTAGTAAAGAAGTTGCAATCTTTTCGTTGCTTGTATATGTTCTAAGGGGTCATTTGGTTTAGAAACAAGTTATGCAAGGATTGCAATACATGGATTAGTAGTGCAGAGGTCATTTTTCAGCGGACATTTGGTTCTTTATACTGAAAAGAGGATGTATAGGATAAAACGATATATAGGATTAGCTATTCAAGATTCAAAATACAAACCAAACACGCAATACAGAATACAAAACTTTATACCATGATTATTTCATCTTATAACTCAAACCAAATGAGTCCAATTAAGTATCTTCTGTCTTTCCAGGTAAGTGGAGCTAGAATAAAGATATCAGATAGGGGTGATTTCATGTCCGGCACTTCTGACAGGTAAGATTTCCTGGATTTCTTTGTTCCATTTGTCTTGAGGATATGTGAAGTATATCGTAACGTTGCTCAGACTCTTCAAAAATATTGCCGGATGCGTGTTTAATCCTTCAAAAGTAGTCATTTTTGGAGGATCTTACACAGGGTGGGGCAGCAATTTGAATAGTCCGAGCAACATAAGACTATAAAGATAAATAATTTCTGGACTTTTACAGGAAAGTGACTATTACCGGATCTCAAAGAGCTATCAGCATAGCCGAGTCCATGATATCTAAGAAAGTAGCAACAGTTACTGAGAGGTGGGTGATCTGATGGATTTCGATTTCTTAATTTTTCATTTATGATTTTCGTAAGGTATCATCTGAAATTTCATATTAATGTGTTGATTATGGAATTATTATTTTCACATTTCTGTAGTTGATGAGTTTGTGAAATCACTGATCCCATATTGGCCAGAAGAGGAGAAGTTTCAAGTAAAGTCTTTGATCATTTGAACCAGAAATTTGAGGCAATAGAACTATATTCCAATTGATTCAATTGACTGAATATATGCTCATTTTATACAGTTGTAATTTTTAAGTAGGCAAAACATTAAATTGAAAATTGTGATTTTTATTGGATATTGACTTTATTTTTTTTCCTTTATCATGTCTTGTAGAATATAAATTGTCATTTTCATCAGTATCAGCAACAATATAAGAGTCAAAATAATGTTAGATTAGAAATAATTAGCCCACTTGAATAATTTGAAATAATTCCATTGATTCCTATGAAAATAGGAAACTTATAATATGAAATTAAAAGTTAAGAGAGGTAATATAAAACATGAAAAATTCAATGGATGCATCCATGCAATGTTTCACAAACCACATAAATAAGATAAGTTATTTATTTCACCAACTTACTAATTTGCATAAGCAAATCATCTAATATACTTCAAGGTTCATCCCCTCCATAGCCTCCATTTCCTCCTCCATACCCTGATCCATAGCCGGAGCCACTACCATATCCCGAACCATTGCCGCCACCTCCACCACCTCCTCCTCCACCACCACCGCCACCACCACCACCACCCCCA